TTTTCTGGTCATTAGCACTGTTTATTGTTGATATCACTAGAAGTATTGAGTGTGTTTGCCTTGACATTTTAAGTTAGCTTTAATCAAATATATGAACCTTAAAGTAGTACTATGCTAACATGTGAGTTTTCTAATATTGACGTTACTAAATAAGTTTTGTGTTAGTACTTCCCCTGACAAGATAAGTTAACTGAACATAAACATATTGCAACAAACATTGTAACACATTTGAAAACTTAAAAATAACATTAAAGTAACAATCTGAAAATAAGAATAATACTAAGAGAGTACTGTTAGAAAAACTAAACATCTGTTAATATACAGTATAGATAGATAGAGCAGGACAGGTCACAGCAGCAGAGGTGCCGTATAGCCTTGATTTGGACTATTTTCCCTGTAGTCACATTGGATTTTTGCCTGGTTCGGACCACAAAGCACAAAACAGCAAATGTTACAGAACTACTTAGGACGTGCTGCCGTTTCCAGCGCATTCAAAGTAAATTAAACAATATATACAAGGTTAAAGTCTGTTCAGATGTGTTATCTGTCAGAGAGAGAGAGAGACCAGAGAGAAACCAGAGAAAGAGAAACCAAAGAGAGAGACGAGAGAGAGAGAGCAGAAAAAAGCTGTTCAAACGATGTGACAGAGGCCAAAATTTGAAAACTATGATAGAAGCAACTGCTTTTTTTGAGCCAATAACAAGATATGTTTTTGTGGTTTGAAACTTCTGTACCGCAGCTTTATGTGTAAAGTGTGTAAATAACAAGAGAAAACATAGGTCAAAAGTTTTAAAAATACAATTGCACATGTAATATCCCCTTTAATGTTGGCCCAACCTCCCAAAGCCAGAGGTCCAAAGTGATGCATCTGAGTCATGGAAACTCTTCAGTGAACACCTCCACAACAGAACACGGAGATAATACTGAACAATAAACAACTAGAGACTAAATCACTTCAACAAAGCATTCCAGTCTTTCTCAATTCCCCCGAATTTGTGCCCAAAAAAAGGCTGGGCAGTAAATCTGGGAGAACACAGAGCACAGATTGCCGTCACTGGCAGAATACAGCGACGGTGGTCAGAGCTGAAAAGAGCTGTGAGAGTCTTTATCCCGCTAAAGGAGAGAGAACAGGACAAGTCGTCTGGTCCCAGAGAGCAGTAGCGTCTTGTGTTTTGCAGATCAATGAGAGAGAGCAGAGTGGCACCGGGCAGAAACTCACAGGGATTTGGGAAAGAGGTTCTCAAACCACAGGATTAAGGTAAAAACAAAGCAGTGCTATCTTAAATAAATATAATTCTTTATTTATGGCCATTACAACAATAATGAGACTGTTAACGTTGTCATTTCATGTTTTAGAATGTGGAATAATTATGTAGGAAATATATGGCTGCACCCACCTCCCCGCCTTGGAGCCTCCTCAGTCCTGGATCTAAAGGCTCAGTCCTGGATCTACAGCCTGCCCTTTCGTGGGAGCAGATTCCTCTCTCATAATGGGCCTGCCCGAAGTTTCTCACTTTTCCCTAACCGGGTTTCTGAGTGGTTACTTGCCGATGCAGGAGCGTCTGAGCTTTCCTTTATGTACACTTTGAACAGAATCCAATGGATGTGGAGCAGTGTGAAATTCCACCAGAGGCTCCAAGCTTGACTTGAAAACCTCAGATCTGAGTCTTTGCAAAATGGCAGCACACGTCCTCCTGTGTCTTCCTCTATTTTGCTTCTCTTTGGTCTGAATTTTTCCAATCTGAACAAATGCAAACTGGGACTGATTGAGCACATCTACAGAATCACGATCTGTCCGACCTTTGACCCCTAACACTCTCTTTTGGGGTCAAGAGAGACTGGAGTAAAAGTGGAGGGAATGTTTATTTGTATAGCACAGTTGATACACAAGGAAACTTCTGGCACTAACACAGAGGAGCATTCTTCCAAACTTGTGACGCAGCCCTTTTTCACTAAAGGCCCAGTGAGAAGGGTTATCACAAACAAACTAGGCTAGGTGGCCCGGATCGCCGCCACAGGGGTGTGAAGACAGCCCTCGGTCAGACGCGAGTTTTTTCAACAGGGCCAGCCAAAATTTGGTAGAGAGAGTACAACTTTGGTCCAGCTGGTGGCACTAAGGGCACGGTCACATAACTAGGCCGAACTAGGCCAAATGGCCCGGATCGTCGCCACAGGGGTGTGAAGCACGGCCCGCGGTCACAAGAGCTTCTTCTTGAGCCAAAGCAACTGTGCTGTAGTCCAGCTGGTGGCGCTAATACTAACTTCAGCAACGACCTCGTTGTCCGAGTTAAGTTTCCGTTTCTCTTCCTGTTAACATTCTGCTAGTGTAGCGCTAACAGCTATTGTGACAAACAATATCACGTCCCCACCACACCTCATCCCCCATTCCCCACCACAGGCCACACTGGGCTTTACAAGTGGGCACTGGAACGAGTCTTCAAAGATGCCTGGCCATGGTTGCAGCAATCGCGCCCAAACCCACATGCCCTAAAGCACCTAAAGCTTTAAGCTGCGCATGTGGCTATTACTAACTTCAGCGACTACCTCTAGGTCTATGAGAAGTTTCTGTTCTCTTCCTATTTACGCTATGCAATCGCAGAGATGCACTCAAGTCCAAGTCCCTAGCCCAGGATTCCAAGTCATGTCAAAGTCAAGTCTATGTCCACTCCCTGGAGTCCAAGACAAGTCCAAGTCCCTGGACCCACAAGTCCAAGTCTAACAAAAAGGATTAAAAATGTTAATTCATTGTATTGTTTTTAGAGCATATTTTTCCAGCCCTATTTCAGCCTGCAGGCCATACCCATAGCCACCGTTTTTTTCATATTTCACTTTGACATGATGATGTAATTCCAAAAAAATGATTAAGTATATACACACAAAAACATGTGATAAAGTGCAGTAAAACAGCTGCAGTATGTTATAACGTAGCTTGAGTAATGTAAATTAGACAAAAATCCGACACAACATTTCCTATGAATTCTTTCCCCAGTCATCTCTCCTTGTGCCACAGGCCCTGATTGTTCTGCGGATGGAGGTTTGTTCTGTGAGATTTTCTTCAAGATTTAAGTTCAGACACAACTGATTCACAAAGTGATGCAGCCAATGCAATTCAGGCCAAAGAGCACGCACGGTCAAAGAGAATGCACGGCCAAAGAGCGTGCACAGCCAAAGAGCGTGCACACTTACCAGCCTGTGAAATTGATGGATCTGAAGCATCAGTAGGACTCGCAATGTTCATAAGTCCAAAAACCACAAGTCCGAGTCAAGTTCGAGTCTTTAGGGAACAAGTCCGAGTCGAGTCGCAAGTCTTAAAAAATAGCAACTTTTGTCCGAGTCCCACTTGCGAGTCCCCATCTCTGGGCTACCACGTTTTTTGTGTGTAAAGTTGTCATCCACGAGTGCAGCTCCGCAGTTTCTCTGTGTCCTAAGTTCCACCAGAGACGTCAATTAACGTGCTTGTAAGGAGGTTCCGTTAATCTCATCCATGGATTTATTATAATAACAATCTCATCTTCTGCGTTTGCTGCATGCACCAAGCTGCTCTACCATGGGACGCACCAACAGCTTTCATAAAGGTCAGATTTTGAGGGGATTTTAGAGTTCCTTGTCATCCTGAACTTGTTTTCCTGTTAAATACAACAAACTCTTTTTGAATGCAGGTGGGCGCAGAAGGAAGATGTAATGTGACGCTCAATATCACGTCTGACACAACCACCCCTTACCCTCAAAAATGCGTTAAAATACAATGTTTGAACCATGCCCGAGCACGCTTCTACAACAACCCAGCCAGCCCAAATGCCACAGTCACACGGCACCTAAAGCCCAGATCTAATCGCGTTCTGGGCCAAAGCCCACTTTAACAGGGCTTTAAGATAAGATAAAGCTTTATTAGTCTCACAGTGGAGAAATTTCAGTATCATCGTTGCGCACATTACAACAGAGAAAGGAAATGAGAGCACTCAGATGGCACACATCAAATTGAGTCTATTATTTAAGATAATAGACAGTAAAATTATAAGATTAAAATAAAATAAAATGAGATAAAACTCTGGGCTATTTACAGATCTATATTATACATTAACAGCGGAGAATATGAGTATGAGCAGAATAAACATCAGAAATAATATCAACAGGTAAAGTGACTTGAATGGGAGAATCATCAGATGGATATGAATAATACAGTAAAATATCAACAGGTAAAGTGACTGGTGAAAGGCAGAAATATCAGATACGTAATAATGCAGTGTACTGATAACAGGTAAAGTGACTAGTGACAAAGTACTAGTGAATTAGCAGTGACACTTGTGCAGACTCAGCAGTTCCTTAGGTTTTGTTTGTGACCGCAGACTTTCCCTAGTCCTTTGGACAAAAAACCAATAACGATGCAAGTCAGCCCTGTGCTGATCTGAGAACAGCAGTGGAAAAGGTTTTTGTGATGTAAAGGCTTTTCAGAACATATAAGAGAAAAAAGAGTCAAAACTTCCATATTTCAAAAAAAGTCACAGCGCCAGAACCTGGGCCCAGAGAGAGACAAGAGAGATGAACCAGAGAGGGACCAGAGAGAGAGAGACTAGAGAGAGAGACTAGAGAGAGAGACCAGAGAGAGAGACCAGAGAGAGACCAGTGAGAGAAAACAGAGAGAGAGACCAAATACATTATTTTTGTATCGCCCTAAATCACAACAGTAGTTATCTGAGAGAACTTTACAAGTTGTCAATTCACCAACATAGATAAGGGAATCAAACTGTACAAACAAAGGAAATACAATTATTAAAAAACACATGGAGTCATTGGTCGGCCGGATTTGTGTAATAAAAATGTTTTTAACCTTTAACATGTTTGCAAACTTCTGTCGTTTGCACAATCTGAGTGATTTTATGCCAAATGTGACATGTAATTTTCTCCAGTGTGAAATCAATAACGTCTATCTTATTTTTTCTTATCATAGGGAGTGGGATGACCACTGTTTTGTGGATGGATGAGGCAACCTGTGGTTTCTGCTAAATGGGAATGAGGCTGTACATTTGTCTAGAGTAAATATGAATATTGTTGCATTTGTGTTTCTTACGATAAAGGCAGCCAGCTTCTCCGTTGAGCTGGGACCATCCGGGGCAGCACTTGTAGACCGTTTGGAAGTCCTGCGTGTACACCTGTCTGTAGGCCGTGTAGTACGCCGTTCTGAGAACCAGAAAACACTGTTTGAGACTATAGTCGCATTTCCACCGCAGGAGTTCCTGTTAAAAGGGGGGAGGGGAATCCAAAGGAACCGTCCTCTCACTAGGTCCTCTCAGTGGCCGTGTCTCCACTGCAGAGTAGGATCCCTCGGCGACGTCATGATTTTCGATCGCCCCACAATCCATAATTATTTATTTTACGATCGGAATTGCTCCAGTTATTGTGGTCTTCAAGTTTTTTATGGGCCGGCTTCATTTTTTTTTTTTTACTTTTCACGCCATTGTTTAAATCCGTACCGCGACACCGCGTTCAGCAGCGAGTTGAGTGCCCCTGTAGTGGCTCCCACCAGAGCGTGTTCTGTGACTGTGACATGACACCCTCTGTCAAAAAGGCGAAAAGTGGACATCGAGTGTCTGGTTTTTCCAAATAAAGTGGACTGTTTAGCGGAGGTGAATGAAACAGCGGTATGTCGGTGTGTATGCAAGAAGTGGCTGTACTGAAGGAACATCAACTTAAACTGCAAAAAATACTGCACTTTGAGCGGAGAATTGAGAAGACAGAAGATAAACGTGTCTAGCCCTGAAGAAACAGCAGTCTGTTTGTAAAGACAAGCCACCTGAGTGCTAACAACATAGCATTAGCATCGCAGCCGCACAGTGAGGGAGAGTTTGTCCAAACTCTCATACAGGCTGCAGACTGTGTCCTGAGAAACAACACGCTTTAACCAACATCACAGTGAGGTCGTGTGGCTTATAAGAGACTGATGTTACTGATGTCGCATATTCATACGTGGTGTTCCTGAAACTTTGACTATCACAGAGGAGATTTTAGAGTTGGTGCTGGTGCGTTGGACAGAGTATAGGTTTGGACTGGTCCTACGCTCTCAGCCTGGTACCGATGGTAAAGGCAGGTGTTTTGACAAAGCCGCAAAAGGAGGTAATGATTTGACTGTATTTTACACAGAGACACTGCTGCAGTCGTTAAGAATGGATCACATTATGGAAGTTGATTTGTTCATTTCAACTGAATCATGATTAGTTTGATGCTTTCTCTCTGATGATAACATAACCATAGACCTTACCATACTGATAAAGCTACCTACTGTTCCTTTGATAAAGCTACCAACTGTACCTTTGATAAAGCTACCTACTGTACCTTTGTGAGCAAGTTTTCTCTGTAATGAGCCTTAACAAAACAAAGCTAACACACAAATATTAATATAAATATTGTGAAAAGCAGATTTACAGTTAAAACTGAGCGAGTATTAGACCATGTTTTAAATAAATGTGTTTATGTGCACAAAAAGATGGACTTTGTACGGTTTTTGGGTATTTTTGTAGAGAATCTTTTGGTCCGGCCCAGTTAAGATCCAATTAGGTTGTACTTGGCCCCCGGACCAAAATGAGTTTGACACCCCTGCCGTAAAGGTTCTTGTAAATTAACCTGTGGGGGAGATTCCTGCAGTGGTGACACGCGCCAACGGGGCTGGCACAGTTAAATTACCCTGAAGCTCCTGCGGTGGAAACGCGACTATGGAACACATATGTGTGTTAATGAGCGAGAGAGGAGCACCATTGCGCACCTCTCTGGTCTTTCTGGTTCCTCTCCCTCTCTGGTCTCGCCTATATCCGTCACTCTTCTAAGTATATAGTAAATCTTTTCTCAGGCGTTCATGATAGTAACTTGGAATCTTCATGAAGGGTGATCTGTTACTTCCAATCCGTCATAACAGCATTTACTTCCAGCAAAAATCAACAACACAGCGCATCTAGCTAGGAGGATATAGACTCGTCTCTGATTGGCCGAGAGCGGACCAGGGCCCGCCTTCCCAGGGGTCAAGAACTGCATAGCATATTGAATTAAGTTGCACTCAAACCATGTGCCAATGCAATATGCAATATGCAATGCAATCCAGAGGGAGGTGCTGTTTCACAACACATTCAATGAAACTTAACATGGATATAACTTAAAGCTGCACTAACTGACTTTGGGATTTTGAAGCCGTGGACTCTCTGGCCTCTCTCTCTCTGCTCCCCTCCCCGCACCCACGAAGCTATCGCCCCACACACACACCCACTGTTGGGACGGGGCTAGCGTCTCCCAATATGGATAATACACGAATATGGATTTGCACGTGGATGGCGTGACCATAGAACGATAGAACCGGGAAGCGCGGAGGAACGGGACTTTCTTTTGGATGGCTGTTTCGCTGTGTAAGCAGTACCCGGTGACGAAGACACACGAAGTTTCAGGTTAGCTCCGCCGCTTGTTGTGCTAACTCAGCTGTCTATGCTAACGGACCTGTAGATTTCTCACGAAAGTGGGGGCTAGTGGTGCGCTGCTATTGGTCACAATCCGCGACCCGAAACACATTCTCTTCCTTGTTTCATCAAAACTCGATCTAAAATATAATGTCACGCCAGCACAAATCTGCGCTACTTTTTCTTCAAAATGATGTATATCCCAATGCACTACATGGACATGGATAGCATTTTCGTAATGAATACAAAAATAAAGTCAGTTAGTGCAGCTTTAACATGGATATAACATGCAATTTTGCCAAATACAACTTTAAACTAAATGCCATGTTAAGAATGAATAGAACAATGAATAAAGAGGCCAAATTTCCATGTCAATATGCTATTCATTTCAAAATCTTAATCGTAATTTGCAATATATAAAGACATTGTATCGACACTTTACACATTGAATTGCCATTAGAACTTTTGGAATAGAACATTAAATGTCCAAATTGGATATAACATTACACTTTGACAAATACAAATACAAAATAAATACTAAAATAACATAATGCATAGCCATTTGACAAATGAATAGACAATTGAATTAAGGTGCCAATAGTCTTCCATAGGGTGAGCCACACCTCACACTTAGCTCTATGACAGACCTGGGATAAAGCTGTGGAAGAAGGAGATCTGATGGAGCAGAGAGCACGTTCTGTGCCTTTAAGTGGGGACAATAACAAGTCTGCGTCTCAAACAGGGGGACGAGGTGTGTGTGTGTGTGTGTGTGTGTGTGTGTGTGTGTGTGTGTGTGTGTGTGTGTGTGTGTGTGTGTGTGTGTGTGTGTGTGTGTGTGTGTGTGTGTGTGTGTGTGTGTGTGTGTGTGTGTGTGTGTGTGTGCGTGTGCGTGTGTGTGTGTGCGTCACCTGCGCTCATATCCCATGCACCAGGCCTGACCACTGCAGCTCTGCTTCCACACTCTGACCGTCCGACTAAAAGCCTGGACACACGGCTGAGTCTGAGCAATCAAGGCTACTTCCCGCTGCGCGCACACGTTAGGCCTACACCGGGAAACAAGAGAGAACACACCATCAAAGACCAGGGGTGAGAGACAGGGGTAAGGGACACAGACGCACATGTGAGAACAGCGGTAGAAGAGAGAAGAGAAGGTGAGGGACCAGGTGTAAAGGACAGGGCTGAGGGACCTACATAAGGGTCCCATGTTTTAGACTAGAGCAGAGATCACAGTTTGTCCATTTGTATGCTAAATACTAAAATCAATGTATGATAATAAGAAGAACATTCAACCGACTCTCCTATCCAGGTCTCTCTTTCTGGGCTCTCCTGGTCTGTCCTGGTATGTCCTGGTCTCTCCGTACTGTTCTCTCTGTCCTGTAATCTCCTGGTCTCTCTGTTTGGTCTCTCCTGGTCTCTTCTGGTCTCTCTCCTGTCTCTCTCTCTGGTCTCTCCTGATCTTTCCTGGTCTCTCCTGATTCCTCTGTTTGGTTGTGCAGATGACACTGAGGCCTGATGCTGAGAGGAGCTGTCAGCTGTGATTACAGTAAAGCCACATCTGAAGTCTCACATCTGAAATACCACCCCCCTGGTATTTTAAAGACCAGGGGGAATTCCTCATCCTCACTTCAGGAGCAAGAAGCTACCTGCTCATTAAAGCTAGGGTGCGTAACTTTAAAACCACAAAATAATGGAACCAAACCACTCCCTGTCTCTCAAAACTATCACTTTCACATCATGTATTTCTGTCCTCTGTCACATCTTTAGATCAGCTTTTTCAAAGTGAAAAAGTGTCAAATGACTCACAGGGCTCTTTCTTACACAGAAGACATGTTTTCTAATAAGATGAAGACAGCATGTTGTGGTCTGTCTCTCAGGAAATATAATCTGATAATAATAATAAAATGGATGGATAGATGGATTTATATATAGGGTTTTATACAGCTCTTTTCTGGAGACAAAGTCTCTCCGCAGCATGCATTCATTCACTCCTTACACATTGGTTATACACTATTATTATATAGCCGCTACAGGTGCCCTGGGGCACATTGACAGAAGCGAGGAACCGGTCTGTGCCATCGGCCCCTCCCATCACCACCAACAATTCACACACACCAAACTAATGTGGAGGAAGTAAAGTATATCGATATATCGTGATACTTTATACTTTTTTTTTTATTGGTATCAATACTTAATTTGGCTACATTATGCATTTCCATTCCATTTATCATGAAATAAAGTGTATTTTTTCACTTAACATTTTTCTTTTATTTATGCCATAAATTGGCATATGGTATATTTCTGACCAATATATCGATAATCGTCATATCGTGATGTTATCGTTATTGTGAGCTTTGTATCGTGTATCGTATCGTGAGGTACCCTTAGGTTTCCACCCCTACTGTGGCACCTGGTGTTCCCAGAAGGCTACCATCACAGTGCAAACCTGCCTCGCTTCAGAGGTCTGAGGGATCTGGTAGGAGGCGGCTCAGATAAGGACCAATGACTCATAAGTTCTTATTTGTGTTCCACTTGTTTGAACAAAATTAATTGATAACATTTTTTATTAAAGGCGCTATACCCGTTTCTGCAATGTTTGAATGTTTAGCACCGCCCCCCAACTCGCTCATAGGTTTCTCATTTCCCCTACGCTCTCATCCCACGGAGCCTGCTAGTTTTATTTGCGATCTGATACATATGCTAACATTAGCATTAGCGCAACTTCTTGTAAGCTGTGCAACAATCACCGATGAAATGGTACAAAAGCAATGCACTGCTAACACAATATATAAGTAAAAGAATACCGCTAGTTTCACGTCCAAATGTATTAATTTTAAACATTAGAATATATTCTAATATTTAATTATAATTTGTTATAGAGCTCCTCAAAGCAGCAGCACTCCATTGACTTGAATGCAATTCTTCCGATAATTTTTTCTTGATAACAGAACTCTCAAACCAATAATGACCGAAGCCCCAATGCAATCTCTGTTTGTAATTCAGGTGTGTAAAATACTTCCATTACTCTGCAAGTACAACAAGCTATCAGCGCTTGTCACTACACACTTGTCTGTGTAGAGAAGCTAGCGGAGCTAGCCACGCTCAATAAACAACTACATATCTATCAATCAATACAATTAAATGTCAATCGGACAATACAGTATACATATACATCCTTAACACATATGCACGGACGATTTCAGAATTTGCTGTTAACGTTTTCATGACAAAAATACTGTTTTAATCTGACAAAAAGCGATTGCGAAAAACCCAGAAGTTACCATGAAACAACTAGCTAGCTTAGCTGTTACCTGCCTAGCACGTCCCGGTGAAACCTTTGGGAGCTAACTATTTTATTTGCAGTCATTAAATACATTTCGAATTATAAGGGTTGTCTAATATTTGTTCAAATATGTATATATTTTTTTATTTTAGAATTATATTCGAATTTTGAAGTCGAAGCCCTGGTGTTAAGCAGCGCTGTAGAGGCTAGAGGACGCAGGCTGTTCACTGCTCGTTCTGTGAGTGGAGGAGAACGAGCGTCCCGCTAAGACTCTACTCAGCACTTTTCACTGCTTGTAATTCTTACACAGCTGAATCAATTACCTCAAGTTTTCAATTAAATGATGTATTATGATACAACTTGTATGTAGTAAAAAGCATTTTTATGAACTACTTAGAAAAAAAATCGGGTATAGCTTCTTTAAGTGTTATTATTTTTCAAGCCAGAAATACATAAGATAAGATAAACTTTATTAGTCCCTCGGCAGAGATTTGTATTTATTTATTGTAATATATGTGAACCCAATGATCATAGCACCAGTCCCTTTGATCCTCCTGCATGTGGTGGGTCCACAGGAAGATGGCTGCTCTGACACAGCCTTGGTCTTACAGCGGGGGCTTCGGGCAAAGTGGGGTTAAGTGTCTTGCCCAGGGACACAACGACCGCAGACATGAGTGGGAGCAGTCTCGTGGGGGGATCAAACCCACAACCTTCAGGCCTAAAGGCCAATGCTCTACCAACTGAGCGACAGTCACTCCATAGAAGCAAACTGTTATGAGAAATGGGGATGATTTTGTTCACTTTATTAGAGTTCCATTATTCTTTGGTTTTAAAGTTAGGGACCCAAAGCTTTAATGAGCAGATACCTTCTTGTTCCTGAAGTGAAGACACATAATAATTTTCCTATTGTGGGACCAATAAAGGTTCAAAACAGTGTGATGCATGTTGGATCTGTGTCTTCGTTGTACAGTCTGACATCAGATGGAGATGAAGCTCCCAGACGCTTTTCCAGACGCTGGATTTAGACGTTAAACTCTGAACAAATACATTTTTCCCAAACGTGAAACTCCCTAAAGCTCTTTCTTTTACCAAGTGACAAAAGCATGTATCTCCGTAAACGTAAAGATTTAGAGTAAGGATCAGAATAAAGGATGACATACAGCTGTGTGTCTCCAAACAACATCAAAGACCGCGTCAGAAGCAGGACTCCAAACAGCTTCACCCTAAAGCTGAGGTACCTGACTTATACATTATATATACAGACCAAAAGTTTGGACACACCTTCTCATTCAAAGAGTTTTTATTTTCATGATTATGAAAATTGTGGATTCACACTGAAGGCATCAATGACTTAACTCATGTGGAATTATGTATGCACACAAAAAAAAGTATGAAACAACTGAAAATATGTCTTATATTCACGGTTCTTCAAAGTACCACCTTTTGCTCTGATTACTGCTTCAAACACTCTTGGCATTCTTTTTATGAGCTTCAAGAGGACCTGAAATGGTCTGAGTTCCCAGAGATGCTTAGCACTTGTTGGCCTTTTCGCCTTCACTCTGTGGTCCAGCCCCAAAACCATCTGAATTGGGTTCAGGTCCTGTGACTGGAGGCCGGGTCATCTGGCCCATCACTCTCCTTATTGGTCAAACAGCCCTTACACAGCCTGGGTGTGAATCTACAGTCAATAGTCATGAAAAGAAAGGAAGCTCATTGAATGAGAAAGTGTGTCCACACTTTTGGTCTGTACTGTATGTTTTGTTTGTTCCAACAGAAAGAGTCAAGAACAAATCCGATCACAACATGCTGTCTTCATACATTAGAAACAAAGAGCTTTACTTTTCTTTTACTTTTCTGTCTGAAAAGCTGATCTAAATATGTGACATATGCCAGAAATACATGATGTGAAAACTAGACCAGGACCGAGACCGAGACAAGACCAAGACCAAGACCAAGACCAAGACCAGTAAATGAATACTTGAGGCAAATAGCTTTGAAAGCCAGGAACTATCCTGTTCAATGTGTTTTATGACTGTGTTAGAAGTAATGGAAAGTTTTGTACATCAGCTTTAAAGGGGTTTAAAGGATTATCAATATTTTTTTATCGGATGCTGGAATAAAAAAACAAAAGAAGAGATCAGAACCGCATAGAGGACCCAGCTGCAGATGTTGATGCTCTTCAGGACCAGAGCTGAGGATTGTACAGTGTACATGTTTTAGTGAACTGTGTAGACCTGGGGAGAACATGCAAACTCCAATCAGAAAGGCTGAGTAGTAAGAATGCTAACCACTCTGCCACCATGTGGCCCACAATTAATTTTAATATATGATATATATACAATATAGCGCTATATTTTCAGAGGTAAATGATGCAAAATGGAAAAATTGTGATCATTGGACCCATCAGTGTCATAGCATCAGTACATATTAAATTAAAGCTAGGGTACCGCACTTTTTAGCTTAATAAATAACTTAACTATGTTTTTCACCTTTTTTGTCTGAAAAAAGCAAATCTAAAGATGAGACCGAGACCAGAAACATATAATGTGAGAGACAAGAGAGAGACAAAAGATTGAGACCAGAGAGAGACAAAAGATAGAGACCAGAGAGAGACCAGAGGGAGAGAGACCAGAGAGTGTGGAGTGAGAGACAAATGCCCAAAAAATAACAACTGTAAACAGCTTTGTGACTCTGGTCTGTGAAAGGAGGTATATAAATAAAGATTACTTATTTACTTAGAGAGACCAGAGGGAGAGACCAGAGGGAGAGACCAAAATTACATGAAACTAGTGATGAAGAAAACTGTTTTAGCGACAGGAACAAGAGCAGAGTTCTATTGGTGTGTGAAAGTCCCGTACCCCAGCTTTAAGACGTAATTTGTTTCGATGCCATTTAATCAGATATACAAGTTAAAAAGCTGTGGATATTACAGTGGTATAAAACAATTTGGGAACCCAAATATATGTATATTCTTTAAATATTTGAAAAGTGAGATAGGAAGTGTGCAAGAATGATTTAAACCGAATTACGCACGGATATAGTTTTAGGCAGCACAAAAGAAAAATCAACTCAACATCCTCCTTTTGCAGAAATAACAGTCTCTAAAGGCTCCCTATAACTTCTAATTAGAGTCTGGATTCTCATGGAAGGTATTGTGGACCAATCTAAACTAGAGCTGATCTGCAAAGATGCATCTACATCAGTGATCCTTGTATAACATTTCACTGAATAGTCGAACGATGCTCTCACCAAGCAGAAAGCTAGGTTTTTGGAGCTGGTCTGTGGTGAGAACAGTCTGTGACTCTGACTGTTCTCACTATCCTCTGCTTATCTGAGATTTTTCTTGGTCTGCCACCTTGAGCCTTAACTAGAAGTGTGCCCGTGGTCTTCCAAATCCTCACAATATTTCTCACAGTTGAAAGCTTAAATCTCTGTGTTCTCTTTTTGTATCCTTATGTTGAACAATCTTTGTTTTCAGGTCTTTTGAGAGTTGCTTTGAGGCTCCCATGTTGCCAATCTTCAGAGAAGATGCAAAGAGGGGACACACTTATAATTGGCCTATACTTAAATATGCTTTATCATGCTTGGATTCACCTGTATATGGAGGTCAAGGGTCACTGAGGTTACAAACCAATTTTGAGTACCAATGATTAGTGTATCATTCACACTTTCTGTGAATGATACAAAATTCACAGAAAGTGTGAAATATTTAACTTCTCAAAAATCACTGTGTTTGTTTCCATCCATCCATTTTCTTCCCTTATTCCATTTCTGGGTCAGGGGGGTGGCAGTTAGAGAAGTCAGCACAGTTCATGTTGCACCAGCCCCTCACTGATCTTCCTGCAGGTGGTGAGTCCACAGGAGCCTTGATCTTCCAGCAGGGGCTTTGGGCAAAGTGGGATGAAATGTCTTGCCCAAGGACACAACGACAGCAGTCATCAGTGGAAGTCATGAAGTAAGTCTCATTATGGGCTTGAACCCACGACCTTCAGGCCCAAAGGCCGATTATCTACCAACTGAGCTACTGTCGTTTATCTACTGTATGATACATTTAACTGAAATGTCTTATCCACAGCCAATGATTTTTAAAGGAAAATGAAAGCTTAGATAAGATTGAAAGGTGTGCCCAAACGGTTGCATACCACTGTACTCCCATACAGTAAATAAATGGCTATTGCAACATTTGGCAGCATCATGGAAACAGTAGAAACATATTAACGGCCGAACTATATTTAAATATATAAATAATAATGATAATTTCAGAGTGACTTACATGTAGGGTTTGAGGTTGTGGTTCGCTCTACCATAATGAAACGCCTCAACGTTGAAAATCATCAAACAAACACCAAAAACAAAACTATCCATCTTTTTCGCAGCGTCTTCCAAAACCTGTCGCCAGCTCCAGCATCAGCGCGACCCTAGAGTTCAGCCGAGTTTCAATGGATAAATACAGGACAAAATCACTTCTAAAATTCTAAAGCTCAATTCTGCGCGCAATCCGATGCAGAAACAAGCACGTTCCAAACACAGACACGCACCCAAATGTGCCAATACGCACGGGTTTTACGCACGCGTCTCCTCCGCTTTCTGTCTCTGTTCATTTATTTTGGGAAGCGCACAGGGTTGCTGGTGTTTGGGGGAGGAGGAGAGGAGGAGAGGAGGAGAGGAGGAGAGGAGGAGAGGAGGCGAGGAGGGGGAGGGACAGGAGGACGAGGGCAGTTTACTATTCAAAGACACGACCCCTGAAACCCAGACCAGACGCACGCCCCGCAGTGGTTCAAGAGCACGCGGCCAAAAAAGGAAACTTGCGAATGAAAAACCGATTCAGGTCTAATTTCGCCAGGATGTGGATTCTCTCTGACAGATGGACGTCAAGTAACGCGTGGCAATGCAGCAGCAGCAGTAGTAGTAGTAGTAGTAGTAGTTGTAGTAATAGTTGCAGCATCAGCAGTATAATACAACACTGTATTCGAGAGTGTGTAACTTGCTTTAAAGATCTTCCAGCAACATTGGAATGTGCTGCCATCTTCCTCAGATAGGCAGAATAGACATATTTAATTAAAACTGTGGTCCCTGACTTTTTGTGATAATCAGTTTTAGAAAACATTCATATTTTAGCATTTAAACTCTGTCTGCTACGGAAGAGCATTGTTGTCACACAAAAAAAGTAAAAAAATAAATAATAATAATCTCATAATTATGAGATAGTATATTGTAATTATGAGATAATGGAGAGAAAAAAAAGCCCTTATCAGGCAGGCTGCACTCCATTGATTCATCAACAACTTTCATCGGCACGATTCGGCAGTACAGGTAATGTTTGTTTATATTAACACTTTGACTGATTTTTGTATTAAATATGTGTTTAAACCATTCATTAGGAAATGAGATAATTATCTCATAATTACATGATAGTTAACTCATAATTATGAGATACTATCTCATAATTATGAGATTTATTGTTCTTTTTTTTTGTGTGACAACAATGCTCTTCCGTAGTCTGCAGCCTCTACTACCAGAACTGTTCAAATCCCTCTCTTTTCGTTCTGAAAATAAGATAGGATAAGATAAACCTTTATTTATCCCTCAGTGGAAATGTTGATGTCAGAGTTGCGAACATTACAGCAGGATATAAGGATAAATAAGAGCACTCAGATTATGCACTCAGATTAAGCAGGATAAATTATTTAAGATACTAAAATAATAATGTGTTCAGTGATACCAGCTTTAGATATTTGATTGTGTATTTACAAACAGATCACACAATAACACAGATATTAACCCGAACCCAGGCCCAGGACACGTCTGAGAGGCACCACCACACCCACAACCACCAGCTTTGATGCAGGGCCATAATGGGACCGGACCAGAGAGACAGGTCCCAAACACTCCTCTAAACAATTCAACTCGATGTATTTGTGTTTCACCCTTAATCACAACAGCAGTCGTCTCGAGAGAACTTCACAAAGTTGTGGATTCCCAACAACAGATCAGAGAATCAAACAGTTCTAACCAATGGAATAGGTCCTGGATCTACAGCCTCATTCCTGGATCTAAGGCCTCAGTCATGGATCTACAGCCTCAGTCATTCCGCTGCGTATATAGACCCGTGGCTCCTATATGTTTTTTAAATTGCATTTCCTGTTTGATTCTATGATCTGTTATTGGTGAATAAACAACTTTGTGAAGTCCTCAGAGACGACTGATGCTGTGATTTAGGGCGAAACACAAATGCATTGAACTGAATTGAATAAAATATATGGATATAAGATCAAAAGGTATCGTTTCAAGCACTTTATTATAGTATAATATTCTTGTACAATACACTGTTGGATATTCTATGTGCTTTGGCGCCCTCTGATGTCCACTCACGGTACAGCAGCAAACATTAAAAAAGAAGAGACATTTATAATAAATATTTAACAAGGGAGCGACTCCGCGCAGCCAGTGAGGGGGGTGTACTCTTGTGTCAACAGGAAGATGTCAGAGCCAACTTTGCCCCTCACTAAACCACATTTACGTTCATCACAACTTTTCTTCGCTTTCCCCCCGCTAGCTCACTGCAACACACTCCCTTGATTCGCCCTTTGAGCCTACGCAACAGTAGCATGATTTGTGTCATAAAAACTCTACCGAGAAACCACGTCCTAGTCCGAAAACAGCTGAGCGTGGACTTGAGCAGGGTTAGAAACATGTCGACCGATAAGGCACGGACTAAACCCGTGACTCTGCTGGGGACCATGGCGTTTGGAGGCCGCGCGAATGCGGAGCAGAGCCGGGACATGGTGCGCGCCTTCCTTGACAGAGGACACAGCCGAGTGGACACTGCCTTCATGTACGTGGACGGGAAGTCAGAGGCGATGATCGGGAACATGGACCTGCCCAAAACAGGTCAATATATGCAAAGAAGTGCTGTGTGTGTACTACAGTGAGGTACCGGGGCCCTGCATTGGGAAACACTGAGTTAGCTGTCCAGTTTGTAGGTTGCAATTATTGCTTCATTTCCACATACATAAACCAGAGACCAGCGAACGAGACCAGAAGAAGCTAATCTGAAGATTTGACAGACCTGTTTTAAGAGCAAGGATTTGTGAGTTTTATTCCTGAATCTATAAGAATAACTGGATAGGGTATTACCATGGATCTATTATAACAACTGGACAGGGTAGCTGAAGGAACCACGTGCTCGGGTGATTCTCGGGTGATTCTCGCGGTACTGCAGACTAAAATCACGTGGGCTACCCAGACATTTTCCCCATAGAACTCAATGTAAACTAAACCAGCTTGACCTCAGCTGACAGAGAACCTACAGCTTTCATAAAGGTCGGATTTTGTGGGGATTTTAGTTTCCCTTGTCACCCTGAACAGCCTTTCCTTCTCTCCCCCATGTCTGGGCCGCATATCCAGGAGCTCACACCTAATGTAAAACTGTTTTTTCTCACTATGTAACTCTGAGCAAGGATTCCCAGCATCAGTAGCAGTAGAAGATCAAATGATCATAATGGAAAGATGGGTCTCTAACGTGTAGCTCGGAAGCCAACAGTAGCTCGCCATCCCCTTACAGGTAGCTTGCCAAAGGATTTAGAAATTAACAAATCAAATAATATACTTAATATTTCATATTGTATTATTCATTATAATTATTCATTATTGTTATTGTAAAAGCACTTACTTTGTGCACTAGTAACAAACCTGCAATGAATATGTATAATGTATGATAAATAATGACTACATCCAATATATAATATCAGGCTTGTTCACACCAATATATCACCAAATCTGTTCCAGAGCCGCTTAAAGGAGTAGCTCTCTGTCCTTATCGTCCCGGAAAAGTAGCTCTCTGGGTGAAAAAAGGTTAAAGACACCTGTCTTATATTATGCCAGCTAAGGGGTGTATGGTAAATGAGCTTCCTTACACGTTTCTGTGTGTGTAGTGAGTTTTGTGCTGGACAAATTATACACAAGGCATTTCAAGTGATACTAGGCCTGTCACGATAAAAAAAATTTGCCTGGCGATAAATTGCTTCTTAAATTATCTTGATAAACAATAATATCTTACACAGTGTTTTTATTGCAAGAATTAAAAAAAAAACAGTGAAACAAAATTGCATAAATAACCACAAATTGAACAAACAATATTGGAGGTAGCAACAATTGCGAGCAAGGAAAACAAACATGTTAACCTTTTGTGGTTTATGCCAAGACCTCTCAGGGGTAGCTATGTTTCCTGCTGTGCTGAACATTCGTTCTGAACTCGTGCTTGTGGCACAAATGCACATGTATTTTTTTGCCAGCTTGGAGATTAAGGGAAGCCTTCTTTAGTTATCACGCCACCAAACCAAGGGATCAGATGATTCTTACTGCAGATATTTTGTTTGTTCCTGGTTTGCTTGTACTCTCACTGGCACAGCCTCCTGCGTTTGTGTCACACGATGAACTCTCCTGCTTTGTAGGGACATAGTGCTTGTTAACATGTGAGTTTTCATGCTCCCAAGACTATGCATCTGCTTCGAGCGTGTTCGCCGATGCAGAATTACTGTTTAATAATAAAATAAACTTATTGCGCACCTCTGTGAACACATACTACTGTTATATGAAGTCTGTGAAAGGTCTCTGAACACAGACACGCTGCAAAGCTGCATTATTGGAGAAGAACTTTACACAAGAAGCTGCTAGCTTAACTCTGTTAGCATCAAAGCCCGCCGGCTACTTCCGCCACTTCTGGTGCGCGCCAGGACTTCTGGTGTGAAGTCCCCTGCATCTGAAAACAATGTGCGTCTGGTGAGCGAGGCTTCAGCGTTCCAGCGTTGGCAGTCTGAAAGCAGGTTTAGAAGGCTTTGTATATTAGGAGAGTCAGGCATAGCACTGTCAAAGAGGTAGTGGACACAGAGACCCGATGCATGCGGCGAAAGCAAGAGATTAACTTTTTCCTCCGTGCGGCTATCAGAGAGCGGCCCCACAGAGCCGTCATGGGGACACAAAACAGGAGATAAACCAGGACTAAACCAGGATTTCACCAGGACTAACTATGGGGGAGACTGCTTGTGAACATATTCCTCGAGCTTCATTCCCCGTGACTGTAAACAAGGCTGCTAACGTGTGTTAGCCGACACGACAAACTTATTTATTTAGGTAAAAATGCAAAATCTTTAATGCTTTGAAAATATTAGAACAAATTGTATCGGATCGGTATCGGTAAAACAATATTTAGAATATCGGAATCGGATCGGATTACAAAACATCTGGATCGGTACATCCCTAGTTTGGACACACAATATATTGTTGTTTTTCTCTCTACAGTGAGTCTAAGTTTTCTCTCTCTCTACAGTGAGTTTAGCCACCAAAGCAAACCCGTGGGATGGAAAGACCCTGAAGCCGGAGAGCGTTCGGTCTCAGCTGGAGACCTCACTCCAGAGGCTGCAGAGCGACTGTGTGGACCTCTTCTACCTCCACGCTCCGGACCATTACAACCCCATAGGGGACACTCTGCTGGCCTGCCAGCAGCTGCACCAGGAGGTGAGGGATAGACACACACTGAGAGGCAGACACACACACTTACTAGAGCCAGTTTTAGCAGATAAGGGTATAACTCGCGACAGTGGCTCAGTTAGTAGAACATTGGCCTTTGGTCGCGGGTTCGAGCCCACCACGAGACCTTTTCCACCGACTCTATTGATGTCTGCTGTTGTTGTATCCTTGGACAAGACACTTAACCCACTTTGCCTATTCTTGGGTTAACCCTTAGAAGACGATGCCATCGCCGACGATGGTGGCGCACATGTTTTACAAATGATCAATTTACTCGCAAACGGTGAACGCTAGCGACTTACTTTTTTTTTATCTCCGTGAAGTACACATTCCAGCCTTTCCAAAACTGCCTTTGGTTTGTCTCTGCTACATACGGGGGATAAACTACGTGTGTATGAAAGTCAGTCCCCCAAACGGATCTTCAAGCGGTGCCCCGTGAGCCAGGCACAGCCGCATGTAAAGTTGTTTACACACACGGGGACTCAGACAAAGATTGTCAGAGAGTAGGATCTCTCACTCCTCTGTGTTTACTTGTTGCTGCATAGGCAGCAGCGCTCAGAGGAACCAGAGGAGTTCGCATTATTGAGAATAGACAATAATAAATACAGTAAAATTATATTATGTGTATATAATGTATTTATATATATAAATTAGATGTGTTTTTTTTTTTTTGTCTTTGTTTTTGTTTTACATATTTTACAGCTGTGATACAGAAGCAACCACAGCCTCATAGACAAACTGCTTGAGGAAGGGCATCAGGAGTACAGCGTTTTTGGCTTTTATAGTGGAATTTTGTAAAAAGTATAATAGTTACGGATTCAAATTTTTTCCCCATTATCCCCAAGTCCCTAAATAACATTTCTATGCAGTGTAAAAAGTTGTTTATAGCATTTCATTGTGTTTTTTCAATACATTTTTGTGAAATTGATTTTCCGTTTCGATTTTTGTTTGTTTTCATGACTCCAAATGTTTTATATAATTGATATGACAGCTCTAAAATATAGATATTCTAAAACCCCAGGTTGTACTGAAAAAAAAAAGTATACTGCTTGACTCTGCATCAAAAAATGACTCTTTTATGAGCAATTATACACAAAGAAAACCAGGCGAGGAAGGTTCCCCAAAATGACCCTAGACCTTGGAGGGTTAACCTGGCCTGTAGGGGGCGAATGAGCAGAGATGGGACAACTCAGTTTTGCTCCCATTGAAAACCATGTAAATCTTGTCTTAATCGGGAGGGGGACACTCAATCCTAAAATCACTATATTTTAGAATCGAGTGTCAAAAAATATTTCTCAAAAGAGTCTTGATTTTGGGCATTTTTGGAAAAAATAACAGAAGAAATGGCTGCGTTTCATTCGGGTGGCCTGCAGGGGGTGCTTATCAGGGAAAGCCTTGATCCACCTCGCCCACCTCATTCGAGTGATCTTTTCAAAATGTACTTCTTTATATGAGACCACAGTTGGAACACGGAAGAAACTCTTGTCTTTCTCTCTATTCGTGCGGTTGCTATAACCATACACCGCACAAAAGATGGCATTTTGACTCAAGACTGCTAGCTAAGCGCTCTTCTTTTACTATATCTCCGTGTATATACCCGGCAGACTACACCGCCAGGGTATGTCATTCGTGCCACTGCCCCAACTTCATATGAAACCCAAGAATAAGGATGTCTTGATGTGTATATGTATTCATCAAAAACTGAAATTTCCCCACGGGGCAGCACAGTGGCTGAGTGGATAGTCTCTCAGCAAGAAGGTCCTTGGTTCGAATCCCGGTCGGAACGGGGTCTTTCCGAGTGGAGTTTGCATGTTCTCCCCGTTCTTGCGTAGGTTTCCTCCGGGTACTCTGGTTCTCCCAACCACTAAAACATGCACACTAGGTTAAATCCGCCAGCTCCGGTAGACCTGACTAAGCTGAGCATCAGGAGATGGGTTCTCGGCATGGATCTATTGTTATAACTGGATAGGGTATTACTAGCTGAAGGACCCATTTTCGAGGTTCTGCAGATTAAATCAGACTAAATTCATGTGGGCTACCCAGAAATTTTCCCCATAGAACTTAATGTAAACTAAAACAGCTCGACCTCAGCTGACAGAGCACGTACCGCTTTCACAAAGGTCGGATTTGGTGGTCATTTTAGTGTCCCTTGTCAACTTGAACTTTTTTTCTTGTTAAATCCTTTTTTCTTTAAATCCATACTCTACTACCACTAATAATATAAAAACTTCTTCCGCTAATATGTCAGCGCCCATGCCGGAACATGCGCCACTGAGCACAAACTATTCATTAGAATACGGCGCCATCTTGGATCGCCGGGGCTTGGTTCCCGGGCGGTGTACTACGGCGACCACTGCTCCTGACATAAGCCTTAGCGGCATCAGGATGGGTCAAATGCAGAGGAGGAATTGCCCTACGGGGATCAATAAAGTGCACCTTTACCTTTACAACTGTGGGACGAATAAAGGACCTTCTTCTTCTTAACTCCTCAGGGTAAATTCAAGGAGCTGGGTCTGTCCAACTATGCGTCGTGGGAAGTGGCTGAGATTGTGAGCATCTGTAAACATCGCGGCTGGATAGTCCCCACAGTTTATCAGGTGAGCAGGGCCTTCATCTATCGTTCCACTTCATCATAGACTCAACTTTTCGCTTAAAGAAGCTATACCCAATTCATTTTCTAATGAGTTCATAATAATGCATATTACTATGCATATATGTGAAAGATCAAGGCTATGCTCACACTCAGAGAGCAGCCGTCCTCCTGTGGACTCACCACCTGCAGAGGGTCAGTGAGGGGCTGGTGCTATAAGACTTGGGTGGCATCTCTGATTGCCACCCCCCTGACCCAGAAATGGATTAAAGGGTAGAAAATGGATGGATGGACTATGCATATAAGTTGTATTAAAATTTGTAATTTAATTGAAAACTTGACCTCATTGATTTAGCTTGTGTATGAATTCAGGCCGTAGAAAGTGCCAAGTAGATAGTACTCTGATAGTTAGATAGTAGATAGTAGCATGTTAGCAGAATTGGCCTTAACTCCTCTGGCTGTAACTGCATACACAGCAAAACGGCCAAAACGACGCAACAGTGAGGAAGATGGAACTAAAGCGAAAAAATTATCAAAGAAGAAATCAAGCCCGGGTCAACATAGCTAGCTTACATTGTGTCCTCTGCTCGGACTACATTTGGACGCAAAACAAGCAGTAATCTTTCAGTTTGAGCAGTGCGTTGCTTTTGTACCATTTCATCAGTTATTGTTGTACAGCTTACAAGAAGTTGCGCTAATGCTGTTTGCATACACAGCAGATCGCTAAAACATGTGAAACACTGCAACATTTATAGCCAAGGCTAATTTACAATGTCCACTGGGTTTTTTCTTCCTTTTTTTCAATAAATCCACACTTCTGTGCCACAAACTCTGCTCTAGCTTCATTCTGATCTGCAGCGCTCTGATTGGTTAGAACACTCACATGTCTCTTTCTCCGGTCTCTCTTGCTGGTTTCTCTCTGCAGAGCTCTTTTTGGCCAGAACGCTCACATTTTACTCCGGGCCTGTGGAAGTAGAAAAACAGCACCTACTATACACGATTACAAGATTACAAGGAGAACCAGAGCTGGACAGAATACGTCACTTCTGCTGATGCTAGGACGCTGTGATAGAAATTATGTTTATATTATCAATTAAATGATTAAGAATATGCTCACCATTTGGCATTATGGGCCAGGAAGGGGAAGTAACCTTTAGCCACCTGGCAAGGGCTTTTGAAGTCTGTATACCACAGACACAATGTTTATACTGTATGTAAATAAGGAGTGGCTTCCTCGAAACATTTGGGCCTTGTATGGAGGTGTGATTTCAACTTTGAAAAAAGATCCCAACCGAGGGAGCAGAAGGTAGTAGTGACTGGGACGGACAAGCAGAAGGTTGTGATTTGCTTCATCCAAATCCTCCTTCTCAGTCACTATTCCTTGGTGCAAGTAAGAAACAATAATTTGTCTCTGTGGTTTTGTCAAGCAATTGTGGCTTGAATCGGCATTAACAGACGCCCATTGCGCGAGCATGAGCCAATGAGGACAGGCCATTGATCTGACTGGAAAGACATCTTGGGGACCAGCTGCAGACATCTTGGAGACCTAGGGCGGACATCTTGGAGACCTAGGGCGGACATCTTGGAGACGAGGGTCAGACATCTTGGAGACATGGGGTTGTTTTGGCATCTTGAACTAAACATACATTTATCTTTCTCTTTTGTCATGATGTTCAGGGGATGTACAATGCCACAACTCGACAGGTGGAGACGGAGCTGCTTCCGTGTCTGCGATACTTTGGGATCAGATTCTATGCCTATAATCCACTTGCAGGTCAATGTCAGATAATCCACCCGCATAGGTTTTAACCAGAGCCTCATTTTGAGTGAGTGTTTCTTTCACCTCTTCTTTCAGGTGGACTTCTCACTGGGAAATATCACTATGAGGACAAAGACAGAGGTCAGCCTGAAGGACGCTTCTTTGGGAACAATTGGGCAGCAGCGTACAGAGACAGGTACAAGCAGGAAGTCCCATTACCAAGTTAACAATACAGCAATACATAGAATTAAACCAGTTTAAAAGTTTCAATAAATCTGTGCTATCCACACTTGTCCATGTGAGACTCCAGCAAAGGGTCAAGACCAAAAACCTGGAGACCAGATCAATTATGAATATTCTAAATAACTTTAGTGCTCCTGGCTAGCTCGCACAAGAATTTTGTTATTACACTGCCTACAGCACATATTGGGCCTCATGTATGAAATTTGCGTAGAAAAGGGTGTATATTTTGGGTGTATATTCCATTTACGCAAGATCCGACGTGGCATTTATGAGATCTGAGCGTACGCACCTGCGGCTGTTGATAAATGCCGCGCTCGAAACCAGCGTATTTATGAAAGTCACGCCTTGAAATATTCAGAAACTGCCTGTTCCACGCCCTGTTTTTGCGACAGGTCAGCAGGAAGTCGGCTAAGAAGATTGTTTGGAAGCCTCAAAAAGCACACACTTCTGAGATTATTCACATTTAAAAAAAAAAAAAATATATATATATATATATATATACGCTCTATTATATATACGCGTTTTTCCCTATTGCTGTGGCAGGCGCTGCGTAATTACGCACGGCTATTTGTATTCCTCATTCACATCTGGTAAAGCAATGTATGTTTTCATTAGATTTGTGTAAGCCTCACACAAACACACACCCCATTAATGCATGGACCGATGGACTATGGTATTGCTCACTCCAAATGTCTCACTGCCCTGTCCACCCGCGCGCACTCTTGGGAGTGCATCCACAGCAGGTGCCATGAGAGGTAACTCTTCAAATGCTGTCATTCAGAAGTCTTGGCTCCAGAGTTTCTCTGTAAAATCTGGACCGCATACGCTCTCGCAAGTGTACAGCGCTTCAGTGCATTCACAAAACGCTGCAGACGCTTCATTGATGAGAGCCACCGCTGCACAATATGAATTCATTCATTTATTCTTTATTTATTCACTTTTACAATCCAAGAGAGATTTTTATAATTTATCAAAACATTTCTGCAAATTTGTTCAAAACGCAGCTGAATAAATAGCGTAGCGTATATTTATTTTTACATAAGCATGAACAACCTGTGGCAGACCCTGCGTCATACACGTAATTACGCATATGTTTTGCCTCATTCAACTCTGTGAATAAACGTGAATAAACTCAAAAGTGCGTGCTTTTTTGCTACTGCATACTGCCCCCAGAGGCTAAACTATGACCAGGCATGAGCCCTCACCATGAAATTACTAAAGAAATAGGAGAAACTAAACTAACTCATGGCTCCTTCTCTTATGATACTCCTCAGATACTGGAAGCAGAGTCAGTTCGAGGCAATTGCGCAGGTGCTGAATACTCTGGAGGAGGTTTACGGAGCCGACAAACCCTCGCTGACATCTGCCGCCATCAGATGGATGTACCACCACTCACAGTTGCAGGTACTCATCATGTGCCATTGTAGAGCCTCCACACCTACTGCAGGGGCGCTGTTGAGCTGTACGGCACCGGAACAACATATGTAAATGTGCTATTGCTCCAGCGTCTGTCTCTCTTTTTGGTAAAAGCAGATCAGGGTCAGAACAGTCTCCTGCAGCAGGTCCCATCTCTCTCATGTCTCTGCTGTTCTGTAAACAGGCTTTTTAGCGTTTCCAACCGCACTAGCACTTTGTCTGGGCTTTGTAATCTCTTCATCTGCATCACACTAGCACTTTGTATACTGTATGCACCTTGTTATTTCTTGTATAAATACTCTTTATTTGTGTGAATGAATTAAGTTTGTTTATTTAAGGGACATTGTGTAGTTACATTAAAAAGATGGCTACACTTGATTTAGCATCATGCTACTTTCCATCCGTAGTTCCCGCCACTGCGCCACCTTCCGGCGCCATGTTAGGCACTTTAATGCAACAATTCTTGTGTTGAAATTGCTCAGACAAGACTATTGTCCTGATGTTGAGTGTTGTGTGTGTGTGTGTGTGCGTGTGTCTGTCTGTGTGTGTGTCTGTGTGCGTGTGTGTGTGTGTGCGCGCGTGCGTGTGTGTCCAAGACAAATGTCTCTTTGGGACCTAACAAAGAGACAGAACCTTGTCTCTCTCAAGTTTTTCTCTTGAACCTTGAGAGAAACAATAACAGATACAGATGGGTGTATGACAGAACGTCATATATCTTGTGTTTGAGGGCAACTGTGCAATCATTGTGTAGGGGGAGCTGGGAGACGGTGTCATCATCGGGATGTCCAACATGGAGCAGCTGAAGCAGAACCTGGACGCAGTTGAAGAAGGAGTTCTGGACGATCGAGTGGTTTCTGCTTTTGACGAGGCCTGGAGCAGGGTGGCCCACGAGTGTCCCAACTACTTCCGCTAACACTGGAAACAGAAGAGCAAACAATGACAGTTGTCTCATATATGTTGTCAGTGTTGTACCTGCTGCGGTCTCATGCGTGTATCTTCTTCAAAACATCAAACACCTTTTATGATTCATGATCATTGTTCTGCAGTGATTGTGAGTTAAATGACTGGAATTAACCCAAGACTTCAACAAATTAACTTACAAGGATGAATAAAGTTTTCTACTTTTGGAAGAAGCCGTGTTTTTTTTCTATTGGATTCATTTCTATTCTTCCTGGTGATGAGCCTGGTAAAAGGTCTTCTCAGGTCCCAGTCCAATGATCTGAGCTGGGACAGTGACATCCCAGGAGTCGATACTTTGTTGTCCTGGGTTTGGACAACAAAGTATCGACTCCTGGGATGTCACTGTCCCAGCTCAGATCATGAGCGCTTCCCACTCTGCCGCTTCGATTTCACCACAAGGCATGTATACTTATACTTATGTGATATTTTCAAGTTTTAGTTTTAACCCATTTTTAAAAAGAAGATTGGACATTTTGGAATAAGGGTGTAGTGGCATTCACCTTTTTCACTGCTGCTTTTATAAAATTTCTCTTCAATTGGAGCTACTCTGTTCTGGTGCACTGTACATGAAATGTTATCAACTCAAAGTTCGAGTCTATGCACTTTAACATTCGGTTTGTTCACAGGTGTTCCTCTTAGTAATAATGTAGCGTTCCGATTTGCAGATGGAACCCAAAAGCAGAGGCAGGAGACCAAAGACGATAAACAAGTTTATACATTACATAAGAGTTGAGCAGTGAATGCAGGAGATCAAGAGCTGGCAGGAGACACAGGGACGAGACTCAACCAGATTCAGATTCGTTTTATTTGCCATTTGCAAAAGTCCCCCATTATGGGGTGCCGATTGTAAAAATTCTGTTAAAATTTTTTAGCTGAACATTTTTCTACATTTAGCTCACTTTCCTCACATTTAGCACATTTTCCTCACATTTAAGACATATCTATATCTAAATATTATATCTATATCTAAATGTTAAATGTTATATCTAAATATTATATCTATATCTAAATGTTATATCTATATCTAAATGTTAAATCTAAATGTTAAATCTAAATGTTATATCTATATCTAAATGTTATATCTATATCTAAATATTATATCTATATCTAAATGTTAAATGTTATATCTAAATATTATATCTATATCTAAATGTTATATCTATATCTAAATGTTAAATCTAAATGTTAAATCTAAATGTAAATCTAAATGTTAAATCTAAATGTGTCGCCAAGTGTAAAGCTAAATATATAGAAACCACGCCCACTGCAGTGGCTTCAAATCCAGTGGGCCCGCCTTCCGTGCCGTGTGGTGAGTGGGGGCGGTGCCGCGTGTTTTGAACATAGGAATACACGTGGACCGACGTCACGGCTCAAGGCATGTTGGGTCTCCGGCGCCATCGTCCTTGGCCACGGCACAAAATTAGCATTTTTGTGAAGATTCTTGCTTATTTGCTGGAGCCAGAGTGTATTCACTGTAAACTAAGCCACGTGGAGTCCCGTGAGATTCCTGTGTAATCCTGTAGGGTTCTCACCACACGGCACGGAAGGCGGGCCCACTGGATTTGAAGCCACTGCAGTGGGCGTGGTTTCTATATATTTAGTAAGTAAGTAAGTAAGTAAGCTTTATTTATACAGCGCCTTTCACAGACCAAGGCCACAAAGCGCTTCACAGTTTAAACAGGTAAAAAACAGACAAAATACAATTTAAAATGTGCATATACAAAAAATAATACTAAATATACAGTCAATATAATGGCCAAGACACCTCAGTGACAGGTTTAAAAAACAGCCGCAAGAAAATTATGTAAAAGCTTGCCCAAATAAATAGGTTTTTAGCTGACCTTTGAATGAATCAACCGATTCCATCAGCCGCAGAAAGAGCGGAAGATTGTTCCAGAGCTTAGGCGCAACAGCCTGGAAGGACCGGTCTCCCCTGGTCCGAAAGCGTGTGCGTGGGACCATCAAGAGATTCTGATCCACAGACCTCAGGGCACGAGTGGGGGTGTAAGGCTGAATCAGATCGCTGATATAAGGGGGAGCCTGACCATGCAGAGCTCTGAAAGTCAGCACCAATATTTTAAAATGTATCCTGTAGGACACGGGCAGCCAGTGGAGAGCTTTGAGGACAGGAGTAATGTGCGACCTCCTGTTTGTGCGCGTGAGAACCCGAGCTGCAGAGTTTTGCACTAACTGCAGACGTGATAGCTCCTTCTTGTTCAGACATGAAAACAAACCATTACAATAATCTAAACGAGAAGACACAAAGGCATGAATTATGAGCTCCAAGTCGTTCTGTGACACCATTTTCTTAAATTTGGAGATGTTTCTCAGCTGAAAAAAGCAATTTTTGGTCAGCTGTTTGCAGTGTTGAACTAGTGACATATCCTTGTCAAAAATAACACCCAGATTTCTAAGGCTCGGTTTAACAGACTGGCCTACATCACCCAAGTATTGTTTAATCCCTGGTATTAAATCATCAGGGGCAATCACTAGTGTTTCGGTCTTGTCCATATTCAGCTGCAAAGTGTTCTCACTTAGCCACTGCTTGATTTCCACTAGGCAACGAACTAAGGAATCAAGCCTATGGAGCTCAGTTGGCTTAAAAGTGCAAATAAATCTGGATGTCATCTGCAAACATATGATAGGAAACATCACAACAACTTTCAATAATCTTTCCCAAAGGGAGCACATACAACAAAAACAACACAGGGCCTAAGACTGAGCCTTGAGGCACTCCACACAACAGATCTACTGACTCAGATCTGATTTGGTTTGCTTTAACACTGAAGCTCCGCCCAGATAAGTAGGAATTGAACCACTGAAGAACTGACCCTGACAGACCTACTTCATCCCTCAGTCTTCTCAGCAAGATCTGGTGGTCAACTGTGTCAAAAGCTGAGGACAGATCCAAGAGAACAAGAACAGTGCATTTTCCAGAGTCAGCATTTAGCTTTACACTTGGCGACACATTTAGATTTAACATTTAGATTTAACATTTAGATTTAACATTTAGATTTAACATTTAGATTTAACATTTAGATATAGATATAATATTTAGATATAACATTTAACAATTATTTAGATATAGATATAATATTTAGATATAGATATAACATTTAGATATAGATATAACATTTAGATATAGATTTAACATTTAGATTTAACATTTAGATATAGATATAACATTTAGATATAGATATAATATTTAGATAAATATTTGACTTGAGAACAGTGGAAAAAAGGTAGTTTTCACATGGATTTTTAGTATGCCATTGAATAATGACTGAATACATAAGCTTAAGCAACACATATGTTAATTGTGGATGATAAAAGGATCAGACTTCTTTCTGATCAAATAACGTATCTGTCATTGCCTCCACACACTCTGACCACAACATACGCTTTTTATGCCCAAAATCCGCAGCACTCGCAGTAAGCACTAAAACTGGGCATACGATGTTTGCTAAAGCTTTTATAATAAGTTTTTGATGTGTACATTCGGACTAAACATCAGCAATAGCAGCTCACACACCTGTGTCTTGATGCTCCTCCTCCTCACACACAGAGTCCATCGCTCCTTACACAGCATTCATTCGCATCTCTAACTCACTCGGATTTAGACACCGCTTAAGTTGGTCTATGCTTGTAATAATGTACTTTTGAACACAAAAAGTCACGGAGCTCCAGCTGGTGCTCCAGTACAGTCTGAAACTCATCCAGTGAGGAATGTTCCGCGGTGCAAAAATTAATACTATTAAAATGCGTCAATATTTTTAACGCGCACATTTTTGTGTAATGAATTAATCTTAATTAACGAGTTAAAGTCCCGGCCCTAATATATATATATATATGACTTTTCAACCTGCTGTAAAGCCTCTACTGTGGACTCCAGTTGCTGCCGACGAGTGGCCTCCTCCTCCCATCTGAAACACACACACAGACACACACACACAGGTTAGGTCACCCAGCTTTGAGTATACATCACACAATCTTCTACTTTTCATGAACATAATATTTGAAGCTTCTCAGGATTAAGGACTGAAGCCAAAAGTCTGGCACAGTTGTTGTGAAGGAAACATTTTGTGTTTGAAGTCACAACTAAAGTTAGAGACTCGTGAGAGCTGCTGTCCAGCTGATGCTGCGGATTTACTGATGTCACATGAAACAGAAAATTACTACTTAACAACTGTAACTGTGGATAATCTGTAATCAAACTGAGATTTTCTGTTTAAGAAGTATAAAGACTGGAGTAGGTATACGAGGAGAAAGGATGGATGAAAAGTCAGCCCCCAGCTGTACAAGTCCTCCTACTGTTCATCATAGGTAAATCTCAAATATAAGACAAAATGAGAGAGAAATCCAGAAAATCATAATAACTAAAGTCCATATTTATACTTTGTTATATTCGCTTTGTTGGCAATGACAATCAAGGCCAAGAGGGACGAAAGAAGGACCTGGTACTGGTTAAACAGAGCCTGTGGAAACACTCCCAATCTGGGAAGAGTAGAGTAGAGCAGAGCAGAGTTTCAGCCATTGTCTCTGGTCTACAGTAAATCCACATCTGTCTCAAAGCCAGAGCGTCTTTCTCCTCTCCTCAGTTGGGCCCAGGGTGTACTCCGGTCGTAGGTCAGCACCTGTCTGTGCTTCCGTTGCTGTGGGACTGGCCTGAGGGGAGTTGGCAGGGCGGGGTCTTTCAGGGGCCCTTTGGAGTGACTCATTCAGGATCTGTTTGTTTCTGCATTCCTTGGGCGAATAAGACAGCTGAACAGTACTGCTGAGGAGTGGGTTTGGGCCTCAGCGGACTCTCAGAGTGATTCTCTGGCGTACCCCTAGAGGGAGCCCTACTGGTACGCGTACCACACTTTGAGAACCACTGTGATAGATGCTCTTATTGTTGACTGTTAAAACGATTGCTAAAAGGTTTACTTGTTAGAGCATTTTCTTATTGTTTAA